ATCAGCCAAGCCGCGCACCAGAGGCCGCTCGTGCCAAGGGCCACGTTTGAGTGCAGCTGACTTTCTTCCAGGACCCGCTTTCTGCATGCTGTCGCAGGCGATCTCCCGCCCCCAGTCCCCGAGCTCGGCTCGATAAGTCTGGCCGCCTGGAATCAGGAGGGGAAGAAACACACAGACAAAATAATCGACTGCACGGAAAATATGGGAAAATATGGGAAGTGGGGGGGAAGACGAAAACCCAGAAAATATGAGAAAATATCGGGAATCCTGTTATTTGTGTGTATTTATTTGTGTGTCCCTGGGCCCCTTCCACTTGGAGACACTCGGGGATACGCCCCATGGGGGGTGTTCGCACGCACCCCACGTCGAGGACGGACGGCCCCCCCCCCACGTCGTGGATCCTCGAATTGGGTCCCAAATGTCTGGCCTGTTCGAAAACCGGGGCCGCCATACCTCGCGTTACTGCTTCCTCGTGCAAGGCATCGCCCGGAGGCCTCAACGAGGCTTCCGCAGCAGCGCACCATGTTGGGAAGTTGTCTTCTGCTGGGCCTCAACGTGCCCTGCCCGATCCCCGCTGCTCTCACGGGGCGGACTCTTGCACGAAGCCTCGCCGACGGAGGGCTCCGCCCACGCCACCACACGCCGCGTGGCCTTCTGCGCAGGCACGTGCGCGACCGGCGCGCCTGCCCTCCCTTGCCGGGACGCCGGCCTCCCGGCCACGGCAGAGATTCCTTCGCTCGCTCGCTCATATATCAGGAGAGGTCAAACACACACACACACACACACAGACACAATCAATCGTCGACTCCCATGAAAGTATGGGAAAATATGGGACATGGGGGGGGGAGACAAAACCTCGAAAATATGTGTGAAAGTGTAGGGAATCCTTTCACTTGTGTCTCTTTATCTGTGTGCCTCAGGGCCCCTTCAGTATGGTCCCCCCCGCTGTGCTGGCAGGGGGCCGGGCCGCCCGGCCCCGCAGGGCCCGGCCGGCCCGGCGGGCGGCGCGGGCTGCAGGCCGCAGGCCGGAGCGGAGCGGCGCGCAGGCCCCGCTGAGAGGCCCCCCATCGGACACATCCCCACCTCGAGGTGCGCTCTCTCTCTCTCTCCTCCCGCCTCCTCCTCCTCCTGGCCACGCGCAGAGGGGGGTCTGGGGGAGGGGGGAGGGCTTCTTAGAAGCACCCTTGCCTCTCAGAAGGCGCGGGCCTTGTCTGTAGATGTGAGGCCGGCGCCTTCGAAGAAGCAGCCTCCTTCTAAGCAGCCCTCCCCCCTCCCTCCACCCCCTGTTGCGCACCGCCAACATCCCCACCTCGAGGTGCGCTCTCTCGTCCCTCCTCCTCGCGCCCCTGCGGCGGCACGAGGAGCAGCAGGAGGGCCAGGAGCAGCTCGAGGGCGGAGGGGAGAGGCGGAGGGGGCGAGGCCGCCGAGAGGGAGAGAGCAGGGGGGCGGGGCCGAGAGCGAGAGCGAGGGCGAGGGCGAGGAAGAGAGCAGGGGCCTTCTCGCGCGCCGACGGGGCGCTGGGCCGCCGGCGCCCGCGGCGAGCGCGCCGAGGCCTGGATCGCCGGAGGCCTTTTGTGCTCCGGCGCCGGCGGTCCGCTCGCGGCCCGCTCCTCGGGGCGCGGCAGCCCTCCAAGGGCGGGGCGACCGCTCACGGCCCTCCCCTCGGCCCCCAGAGGCCCCCGCCCCTCTTGAGCACGCACTCGAAGGCCCTGGCAAGCAGGGGTCTGCGAATTTGCGCCTCGAGCAGCCGGCCCGCAGTTCCAGGTTTGGCTAGGGGAGCAAAAAGCGGCATGAACATGAAAACTCGGAGGTCCGCGCGGATTTCTCGGATCGGCGCTGGGGCCCCCTGGCGGCGCCTCCGGCGCCGCTCCTGGCGCGCTCCGCGCGCCAGGGATGGGGGTCCAGCGCCGATCCGAGAAATCCGCGCGGACCTCCGAGTTTTTATGTTTATGTGACTTTTTGTTCCCCTAACGTGGGCGCCCGTGCGCGCCTCGTGCGCTGGCTGAGGGCTCCAGACTTTCGGCCGCTAGGCGGCCGTGCCTGCCTCGTGCCCGCCCCGTACGCTGGCTGGCGCTTGAGTTTTCTGCACCGCGTGGGTTGCACCCCACAGGTTGCGCCCAAGAGCTCGCACCACCTAGCTTGCAACACACACACACACACACACACTGCATCTCCTAAGTTACATCGGTCACACGTCGCCTGTTACACCGCAGAGGCTGTAACCCACAGCCTGCGCCACATAGTTCTCACCGCATACCTTGCTCATCATACAAATCACTTGGTATGCTGTGCATACATGTGTGTTGCACCACACAGATTACCGTACACGCAAGTTCCCCAGGTTGTACCATGTGTCTACTTGTATGTCTTCATACAAAATGTAGCGACCCGCGCATTCTCCTTATGGAGGAAATGAACTAAACTCTACCACTGGGATTCGCGATTCCCTCTGGGGCACTGCAAATTACACATGCGGTTTTGCCCCACCGCTCATGTTCCATACGAGTGTTTACCCCTCCCGGCAGGCCGAGTACCGCCCCGCCCCCCCCCCCATCACCCCTGTCAAATAATAGTATGCGCGCACACTCGTGCGTCGCAGAAGGTATGCTTGAAAATTAGCCTGGCGAAGGACCCAACCATATGCAGCTGCGAGTACCGCACGGATATGAGACGAAGGAGGGGGTACGCAAACTAGGCCCCTCTTCTCATAGGCACCGCGCCACTGGGGCCTTCGGTGGAGCTCCCTATGGGGCCACGAAACGTGTGAGGGGTGTGCCGAAATGGGTGGTGGGGAGGCATGCGAACGCAGCCACTGGGGCCTTCGGTGGAGCTCCCTATGGGGCCACGAAACGTGTGAGGGGTGTGCCGAAATGGGTGGTGGGGAGCCACTGGGGCCTTCGGTGGAGCTCCCTATGGGGCCACGAAACGTGTGAGGGGTGTGCCGAAATGGTGTGGTGGGGCCAGCCTTCAGCTCCCTATGGGGCCACCGTGTGAGGGGTGTGCCGGTGGCCACTGGGGCTCCCTATGGGGCCACGAAACGTATGAGGGGTGTGCCGAAATGGGTGGTGGGGACGCATGCGAACGCAACCACTGGGGCCCCTTCGGTGGAGCTCCCTATGGGGCCACGAAGCGTGTGAGGGGTGGGCCGAAATGAGCGAGGGGCGGCATGCCAACTCTGCCACTGGGGCCTTCGGTGGAGCTCATTATGGGGCCACGAAACGTGTCAAGGGTGTGTCGACATGGGTGGCGCGGACGCATGCGAACCCTGCCACTGGGGCCGTCGGTGGAACTCCCAATTGGGCCACGAAACGTGTGAGGGGTGTGCAAAAGTGGGTGGGGGCGGCATGCGAACCCTGCCACGGGGGCCTTCGGTAGAGCACCCTATGGGGCCACGAAATGCGTGAGGGGGTGTGCGCATGCGAATCCTGCCACTGGGGCCGTCGGTGGAGCTCCCTATGGGGCCACGAAACGTGTGAGGGGTGTGCCAAAGTAAGATGGGGGCGGCATGCGAACCCTGCCACTGGGGCCTTCGGTGGAGCTCCCTATGAGGCCACGAAACGTGTGAGGGGTGTGCCAAAGTGGGGCGGGGGCGGCATGCGAACCCTGCCACTGGGGCCTTCGGTGGAGCTACCTATGGGGCCACGAAACGCGTGAGGGGTGTGCCAAAGTGAGGTGGGGGCGGCATGCGAACCCTGCCACTGGGGCCTTCGGTGGAGCTACCTATGGGGCCACGAAATGCGTGAGGGGTGTGCCAAAGTGGGGTGGGGGCGGCATGCGAACCCTGCCACTGGGGCCGTCGGTGGAGCTCCCTGTGGGGCCACGAAACGTGTGAGGGGTGTGCCAAAGTGAGGTGGGGGCGGCATGCGAACCCTGCCACTGGGGCCTTCGGTGGAGCTACCTATGGGGCCACGAAACGTGTGAGGGGTGTGCCAAAGTGGGGTGGGGGCGGCATGCGAACCCTGCCACTGGGGCCTTCGGTGGAGCTACCTATGGGGCCACGAAACGTGTGAGGGGTGTGCCAAAGTGGGGTGGGGGCGGCATGCGAACCCTGCCACTGGGGCCTTCGGTGGAGCTCCCTATGGGGCCACGAAACGTGTGAGGGTGTGCGGAAATGGGAACTAATGGCGATGGCGATGATGATGATGATGATGATGATGATGATGATGATGATGATGATGATGATGATGATGATGATGATGATGCTGATGACGATGATGATGCTGGTGGTGATGACGATGATGATGCTGGTGGTGATGATGACAGGATGGTTGGGAACTAATGGCGATGGCGATGATGATGACGATGATGATGCTGGTGGTGATGATGACGAGGATGATGATGATGAGGAGGATGATGATGATGATGACGATGAGTATGATGACGGCGATGGGAGGAGGGAGGAGGGGGGAGAGGAGGAGGAGGAGAGGAGAGGAGAGGAGAGGAGACGCGGGGCGCTGTCTCTTCAAAACGAGGACCCAACACCACAGGATGGTTGGGAAATACCGTGCACATGAAGCGAAATCCTCACGCGCTCGCAGATGAAGGAAGCATACCAACACACACACACACCAGTTCTGCGAGCATCTCAATATGAAAAAGCCTCAGAAGATATGAGGCAGCATGCATTCCAGTGATTGTTGATGCCCTGCCCGCTCGCATTTGCTGAAATCCTGGGGACACCGTATGACTTCAGCAATCTCGCCTAGAACCCGCATGCTCGTTTCACAGCGCTGCGCATCCGCGCTGATCCAGCAGGCGCCCAGTGAACGAGTACGTATCACATAACGGAATATGGGCCACGCGCGCGCGCCGCCACGCGACCGCGTCGACATGTTTCCAACACCATTGGTTCTCGAAGCATCTCAACATGAAGCCCTTCAACAAACAGATACGAGCACATGTCTTTCCAGCAAGAAGTCTGGCCAGGGTTCTGGGATTTCCGCGCGCGCACTTCCTCGCCATCACCCTCATCAGCGCCGCCGCACCACGCCGTCGTCATCGACAGTCGCCACCACTGCCGCCATCACCACTCAAGCACATCCGTCATCGACTCTTGGACATCATCATCGTCATCGGCCTTACCCGCATGGGCGCCGTCATTTGCCTTGCCGTCATCATCGTCATCATCGCCACCACCATCGGTACTATCATCATCGTTGCCGCCGTTGCCGATGTCGTCATGATACCGTGCTCGCCCGAGCCACCGACCCTCATCGAAGCGCCCGCGCGCCAGCGCGCCAGCGCGGCCTTGGAGACGCGCAGGGAAGTTGTCACCCGTCAGCGCCATCCCGGCCGCATCCGATGTGCCAGACCAGTTTGGGCCTCTTTGCGCGCGAGTTTGCGCGCGCCAGCGCAGAGATGCGCCAGCCAGGGCCAAGTTGTTATATTTCAATCGCCGCCCCATGGGTTTGCGAAACACGTCGTGCGTGGGAGGGTGGGACGGTTGCGCGAGCATTGGAGTTGACCACCCATGAGCTGGCAGAGACTAGTTGCATCCCGCAGACCGCACCACGTAGAGCGCACATCTGGAGCGCAACAATCCGCCATCCCGTGGCTTGGGGTCCGTGGGGGCAAAAATTCAGGGCAAGGGGACGGGGAGAGGAGGAGGAAGAGGAGGAGCAGGAAGAGGAGGACGACGACGACGACGAAGACAGAGAGTGGGAGAAGGACTGCGAGGGCGACCAGGTGGGGGAGGAGTAGGAGTAGGAGGAGGAGGAGGAGGAGGAGGAGGAGGAGGAGGAGGAGGAGAAGGAGGAGGAGGAGGAGGAGGAGGAGGTGGAGGTGGAGGAGGGCGGAGGAGCAGGAGGACGGTGGAGGAGGAGGACCAGTGCAAACCCAAGACTTACCAACGACAATATAATAAACGTTCCGTCCAAGCTCCCTCTTCATAGGCCCCTTACAAGGATCTATACTCACTGAGGGTAGTGCCCCGTTGGAAGACAACCGTCTGAACATCCTGAAGCGTGCCAAAGCAGCACTCTTGGGACTTCAGCGCCACGGATCAACTTTACAGTTGCGCCCTGACGATCCTGAATCGTGCCACAGCACCGTTCCGAGGACTTCAACACCGCGAATCAACGTGACCGTTGCGCCCTGACAGTTCCACATCGTGCCAAAACACCACTTCTGGGGCGCCAGTCATGGGTGTCCTTGACACTGGTGTACACTCTTAAGATATATGTGCGCAGCGCTAAAGCGAGACCAACCTTTTGGAAAGGAGCCGCCCTCCATCCGTGAAATTGCTGAAAACGAATGTGCGCGGCGCTGAAGCGAGAAGCACATTCTGAAAACGGCCTGCCTGTCACCCGTGAAACTGTTGCAACTGTCCAAGACGAGAGTGCGCGGCGCCAGAGCGAAAGGCACAGTTTGGAAACGGTGTCCGCCCTGCGTCCTTGAAAGTGTTGCAGGATTCAGAGACGGAGGTGGGCGGCGCGAAGGCGAGGGCCACATCTTGAAAACGGGCCACTCTCCATCCGTGAAACTTTCGCAAACGTTTGAGACGAACGTGCACGGCGCTAGGGCGAGAACCACATCTTGAAAACGACCCGCCCTCCATCCGTGAAACTGCTTCGCAGCTGAAGCTCGAGGACACTACAAATGGTGAGGAAGCCTCAGGCGACACGCCCGGCCCGCCCTACCAATACGTCCCAGGGTGCGACAGGGAGGAGTTACAGGGAGGCGTTTCATACATGGCTCGCGTGCGCCCCAGGAGTGGTGTGTGCCTGGTCTGCGAGCATGTACTACGATTCCGATGTGCTCCCCCGCGCGCGCGCGCTGGAGTCTCGTTCCCCTACTCCGCGGCCCTGCTTCTGCGGAGCGCCTGCGCGAGGCAATGGAGTGAAGGAGGGGAGGGGGGCGCTGACGTCGACGAGGGCGAGGGAGGAGGCCCCTGCAAGGTCGCACCTTCTCCTCTTCGAGAGGAGGCGGCAGGCCCCTCGTGGTGCCCCCCTCCTCTCGGCGCTGCCTGCTCTAGGCGTGAGGTGCTCCCTGCGACATGTGAGGAGGAGGAGGAGGAGGAGGAGGAGGAGGAGGAGGAGGAGGAGGAGGAGGGGAGGGGGGCGACGGGGCCGGAGGGCGGCCAAGTGCGCGAAGGGGGAGCCGCGGGCCGGGCAGGGGCGCGGAGCCCCCCCCCCCCCCCGCAGGTGTTCGCCCCGCAGCCGGGCGAGCTCAGCGCCCCGCGCGGCGCCTCCGCCGCCCAGAAGGGCGCGGCCGCCGGGGGCCCGCTCCAGGCCCCTGGGGCGGCCAGGAGGAGGGCGGAGGAGCGAGCGAAGGAGGCGGCGAGGTGGGAGGGGGTTTGGCCCCCTGCTCGTCCCCTTGGCAGGTGGGCGTCTGTTCCTCTCTGTGAGGTCTTTGGGGCGCGTGGAGCTCAACAAAAAAGAGGTGGGAGGGGGGAAGGGATGCGGGAGGGAAGGGCACGGCGAGGCGGAGGGGAGCGGAGGAGGCGCGCGGCGGGGCGCGCGGGGCAGGGCGGGGCAGAGGGGGGCGGAAGGGCGGAGAGCGCGGGCGAGTGAGGGAGGGGTGCGAGGGGCGAACGAGGAGGGAGGGATAAAAGGAGGTATGTGGGGGCGGGGCGGAAGGGAGGCAGGCGAGGGACGTCGTGCGAGGCGAGGCGGGGGGCGCGGCCCCTGGGCCAGGGAATGCCTCAGGGTTAGAACTCATGGCATGCGGGCAGCCCAGGGCAGCCTTCCTCCTCCTCCGCCACTGCTGGTCCTTCTCCCCTTGCGCCTCAGTGGACATATGGCCCCAGGCTCGGGCGCGCCCGACGGCGGCTCTGGCGTGAGGTGACCAAGAAGTCACGACCCCCGCGCGCACCACAGGCAGGCCAGCCACAGCTGGGGGAGCTGTGGTCCTTACCCCCCTGGGGGACCCATCGATTTCGACACCCCTCCCGAGAGACCGTCGATGCGATGGGTTCCCCCAGGGGGGGTAAGGACCACAGCTCCCCCTGTTATGGCTGGTCGGACAGGCCCATCCCCCCCAGACCACGCGCCTCACACCCGTGCGCTTCGGGCGCCCACCAGGTATGACATGCAACCACCCTGCCACCGCTCGAGCCACTCCTCCGCCTCCACCTCCCCCGCCCGCGCCGCCGGCAGACCCAGCGACCCAGTCCGACGCCCTGGTCCCCCTCCAAACTGCCCGTCGGGTCAGGATCACCGCGACGGGCGGACATGCGGACACCACTCACCACAGAGCGGGCCGCCCTCTTGTACCGCCCTCCCACTCCCTCCCCCCTCGTCATCATCCCTCTCTTCCCACGCCACATCACGCCACGGAATGGCAGGTGGGCGGGGAGTGCCCCCCCCCCTGGCCAGCGCAACGGCCTCCTGAGCGAGGACCGGGTAGCTCTGGCGCTCGGCCAGGACACCCGCACGCTGAACAAGGCCCCGATCCGTTTCGAGGAGAATGAGGAGGGGAAAGAGGATGAGGACGGACTTGTGGGAGGTTTGGTGGGGAATGCCGACGCAACATGTTGACGCAGTGGGGGTTGGGACAATTGAATGCCGATCATGTATCGGCTTCACTTTCAGCTGGACGTTTCCATGGCGCAAGCTTCACCCATCATCGAAGCCTAGTTTCGGCGAGTCGCCAGACCAGTTGTTCTGGCCAAGGGGTCGTCATGCCTGATGATACAAATATATGGTCTACCATGAAGTGTCAAGACGCGTGCTCCCTCATTATTTTGTTATGTCCCCTCTTCCCGTCTCCCCCCGTCCTTCCTCCATCTCTCCCTCCTTCGGTGGTTCCTTTTTGTCTCCTTCTGCAGAACAGGAGATTCGGGCCTGACGAACTCTTCAGTAGTGGCGATCTTGGGTTATCAAGCGCAGAAGCGAGACAGCAGTGGGAAAGGAGGAGGTGATACAGGGAGGAGAGGAGGAGGAGGAGGAGGAGGAGGAGGAGGAGAGGAGGAGGAGGAGGAGGAATGACGAGGGGGGTGCGGAGGAGCGCCGCTCATCAGAGCCCGTCGCTCTGGCGCGTCGCGAGGAGGCCGCGCTGGCCCTGTGCTGGCCCCCCATCAGCAGCCCCCGAAAGCAGCGACAGCTTCGCAGATCACAGCCCCACAGGGATGGCGAGGTCCAGGCTGGATCTGGGTACACCCTGGGCGATGCTTCAGAAAACTGACGTTTTCAGCCGGAGTCTCGAGGATTCCTAATGCTTCAGTGTAAGTCCGAAGATGTTAGTAGAAGTCCTGGGTTTTGGGTCCAATTCTCAGACTATGAATCTATGAACCCATGCTTTCTTGAGCATCTCGCAGGGTGTGTGGCGACGCTGTGCTGCCCGACCCCAGCGGCCCTCGAAAGAGCGGCGACGGCTTTGAAATGCGCAGCCCCCCGGCGACGGCGGGACCCCGCTCTGGTCTGCGCAGGACGTCTCGCCCCGCTGGACCCCTACCCCCCCAGCATGAAGTCGGGCCTGTCCCTCTACAGGAGGAATATCAAAAAATAGTCAAAAAGTAGTCTGGGGACGATTTTTTTTGCATTGTTTGACAATCTTGGGGCATGTGTTGATTATGTTTTATTTCTCGCCCCAAATCCCCCTGTAGGGGGACAGGCCCGACTTAACCCCAGCAGCCCTCGGCGCGCTGGCGACAGCTTCGCAGGTCGCAGCGCCCCAGGGGATGGCGAGGCCGGAGACGAGCATGAGAGAGGTGCGAGACAAGAGGAGAGAGAGAGAGAGGACGGAGGGGGGCTGGAGGAATCAGCGGCGCGCACAAGGGGGTGGGGGGAGGGGGGAGGGCTTCTTAAAAGCACCCCTGCTTCTTAGAAGGCGCGGGCCTTCTCTATAGACGTAGGCCGAGGCCTTCTAAGAAGCAGGGTGCTTCTAAGAAGCCTTCCCCCCTCCCCCTACCCCTTTTGCGCGCCGCCAAAGGAAGGAAGGACGCGACCACAGTGCTCTGCTCAGCGAGAACCCAACTGCTCCGACGGTTGGAGGCCCACGGGAGAATCTGTTTGGCTTGCCCCTCGCTCTGTCGTTTTCGCCCTGGCGGAGGCCCTCTTCCCGCCCTCTGTTGCGCCTGCTCCTCCTCTCCTCCTCCTCGTCATCATCCTGTCCTCCTCCTCCTCCTCCTCCTCATCCTCATCTCGTCCTTATCCTCATCCTCCTCCTCGTCTTTGTCTGCCTCCTTTTTCTCCTGTTTCTTCTCCTCCTCCACGGTTTCCTCCCTCTCCTTCTCCTCATCTCCATCCCGCTTGTTCTCCTCACGCACATTTCCTTCCCTGGCCAGTGCACGCATACCGATTTTTCTCGGCACCCTCGCCGCCACGGCCAGAAGCGGCGCGTGCTCCTCCTCCTCCTCCTCCTCCTCCTCCTCGTCCTCATCCTCGTCCTCCTCCTCCTCCTCATCATCCTCCTCCTCCTCCTCATCATCATCCTCGTCCTCATCCTCATCCTCCTCCTCGTCTTTGTCTGCCTCCTTTTTCTCCTGTTTCTTCTCCTCCTCCACGGTTTCCTCCCTCTCCTTCTCCTCATCTCCATCCCGCTTGTTCTCCTCACGCACATTTCCTTCCTTCTGGCCAGTGCACGCATACCGATTTTTCTCGGCACCCTCGCCGCCACGGCCAGAAGCGGCGCGTGCTCCGATTGGCGGATCGCGAAGCCATTGGGGCAACCCCGCGGGCCAGGCCGTTGGGACAACCCCGCGGTTCATTGGGGCGCGGGAGCCAGCCGTTGGGGCAACCCCGCAGGTCTCGACCTAACCGCGGCCGCGCTCAGGTGTTCTGCTTCAGCCGTGGAGCTCACCGCTCTCTTGTCGAATTCCCCGAGCGCCTGCCGCATGGACGCCGGCGGCCCGCGCTCCAGGAACTCTCTCTCGCGCTGACGGCCGCAGGGTCAGCATGCTCCGCACGCACGAAGCGCGGGAGAACATGACATAGACATGCAGCCACCACTGCTCGACCGACATGCCCGTGCGACCAGCGTCCTCATCCCTGGCGCAATCGATGGCGACGCCTTTGCACAGCGTCTGATCCTGCGACAGCGTGAGAGTCAAGCAGGGCGCGCGCGTCAGGTCCAGAAACGGCTCCCGATCGAGATTCCCCCACGAGTAATTCACACACAAGGCTCCTTGGAGCGCTCAAGTGCTGAACATGAAGTGTGGGCCCTTAGGGAGGGAGCTCCAGCTCAAGACTTCCTCACAATTCACTCACACACGGGGCTCTTTGGGGCGCTCAAGTGCGATGCCTGCTTCGGTACGCCGATTACCCGCCTCGAATTCGAACATGAAGTGCGGGGCCCTTAGGGAGGCGGTTCCCGCTCGAGGCATCCTCACAAGTCACTCACAGACGAGGCTCCTTCGGCGTTCAAGTGCTATGAGCGATATGCGCAATGTGCTGCTGTGGTGCGCCAATGACCCGCGTCGGATTCGAACATGAAGCGCGGGGCCCTTAGGGGGGGTCCCGTTCGAGATTTCCACACCAGTCACTCACACACGAGGCCCTTCGGGGTGCTCAAGTGCTATGCGCGCCATGCTGCTATGGTGCGCCGATGACCCACCTCGGCTTCAAACATGAAGCGTGGGGCCCTTCGGGGGATTGTCCCGCTCGAGACATCCTTACAATTCACTCACACACGAGGCTCCTTGGGGTGCTCAAGCGTTGCGCCTGCTATGTAACGCCGGTGTCCCGTTTTGGGGTTCGAACATGAAGTGCGGGGCCCTTGGGGAAGAAGTTCCCGCTCGAGACATTCTCACAATTCACTCAAACACGAGGTTCCTTGGGGCGCTCAAGTGCGATGCCTGCTATGGTACGCCAGTGACCCGCGTCGGATTCGACCATGAAGTGCGGGGCCCTTTAGGGAGGGGGCTCCAGTTCAAGACTTCCTCACAAGTCACTCACACACGAGGTTCCGTGGGGTGCTCAAGTGCTATGAGCGCTATGCATGCTATGCTGCTCTGGTGCGCCGATGGCCCGTTTGGGATTCGAGAATGAAGGGTGGGGCCATTAGGGAGGGGGCTCCCGCTCAAGAATCCCCCACAAGGCACTCACAAACGAGGTTCCTTGAGTGCTCAAGTCATACGCTTGCTATGGTACGCCGATGGCCCGTTTTGGATTCGAACGTGAAGTGTATGTATGGAAGGGGTTCCCGCTCGAGACATTCGCAAAATTCGTTCACAGACGAGGCTCCTTGGGGTGGTCAAGTGCGATGCCTGTTATGGTACACTGCCGCCCCGGATTCGAACATGATCTACGGGGCGTTTTGGGAGGAGGGTCCCGTTCGATATCTCGTCACGGTTAAGTTCGACCGATGGTCGATGATCGCGATGGCATGGTGATAGCGATAATGATGATGACGATTGTGGTGGTGATAGTGTTGACGCAAGTGGGTAATAAGTGATAGCGTGATGGTTATGATGATGGTGGTGATAAGGACGATCGACATGGCCATGGCATAATGATGAGTTGGTGAATGATGGCTGAATGTGAGAGATGGAGCGGTTGTGGGAATGAAAATGGTGGTTGTGATAATGATGATGATCATCATCATGATGATGGTGATGACGAAGACGATGACGATGACGACGGTTATGATGATGATGATGATGATGATGATGATGATGATGATGATGATGATGATGACGATGACGATGACGATGATGATGATGGTGATGGTGGTGGTGGTGATGATGATGATGATGACGATGATGATGATGATAATGATGATGATAATGTTGATGATGACCATTATTGGGTAAGTGCATGAGTGCGTGCGTGTTTGAGTGTGGAGCAGAAGGGGGAGGGGGAGAGAAGAAGTAGGAGGAGATCCTGCGCGGGTGGGGTGCAGAGAAAACAAGAACCCCATTTTGGATGTGGGGAACAACGGATGGTTGGGAAAAGGATGGGGCGGAGGAGGGAGGAGGGAGGAAGGAAGGAGGAGGGAGGGAAGAGGGAGGAGGAGAAGAAGAAGGAGGATGAGGAGTAGGGGAGGAGATGGGGAGATGGAGGAGGAGGAAGATGGAAGGAGGAGGAGGAGAAGGAGGAGGAGAAGCAGGAGGAGGAGGGCGAGCAGGAGGAGCAGCAGTAAATGCAAGATGGGTCAACGATGCTGTCATACCCCCTCCCTTTCCAGGCCCCCCCCCTCACCAGTCCTACTAGTTTTGCTTCCCCTGTGCGAGGCGCCCCCTTCGAAGGGCGAGCGCCCCGTGTCCCCGCGACTCGGTCGGGAGCTCCGCTTTGAAGGACACCGACCCCATCGTTCGAGCGGCAAGTTGCAGGGAAGACGACGAGGTGGGGCTTGAAGGCGCAACGGGCGCGCCCGGCGACGGCCCCCGCGTTGCAAAAAAGGAACCGTCCTGCACCCGTGTAGCCGCCGCACCGCTCTTACGCCCTGGGTTTCAGAATCCTCCTCCTCCTTCTCCTCTTCATCATCATCATCATCACCATCATCA